AGGATATCGATTCATTCAAGGCAGCTGGATAGATCTCGTTAGGTGTCAGCTACACATTCTGAGAAAAATGAGACTGGAACTTACCAAATCATGTTCCAAGAAGTGTTCAAACCTTCTACCGTTGTACGTTTCAAAGTTTTCAGTGAGGGAAAGAAGTCCGTCTATTGAGATTTCTGGGAGCAGACTCAATCAGGCCGCATTGTTGTTGATAAAAAATCGTGCAGTGTGAGTCCCTTGCTTTGACCTGGCATACGATTGGAGGAGATCCTTGTCACAGAAGGCACTCTTATCTGGAATAACAGGCCAAGGAGATTGCATTCAGCTAGCTGGTAAAAATAGTGCAGAAAAAAAACTTACCGGTAAAAACAAGAAACTCTGCCGGATAAACCTCCATCTTCTCAATGAAAGCATACTTCAAAACAAGTGATTTCCGAACGCTCTTTGTTTCCGGTTTTTTCAATGTTATGGAGAGTTGTTCAACAAGATTCCGGTGGATGCCCTCAACACTGAGCAAGATGCCACTGGAATGGTACAATCGCTCACGGATTTCTTCGAGAAACAGACCCGGTTTGGATTGGACCAGGTGAATGATGAACTGACATTTGTCATCGGAGAGACTAGATGGTCGGCCACGGGCCTTGTATGTTTTGGGATCCCTGAGGACACATCGAGTCTGTTTGTAGAGTTCTATCCAACGACCAAATGATTGCCAATAAATCGCAACACCGAGTAACTGGCATATTTCAGCAAGTGATAATCCTTGTGTAGCCATTCTAATGGTGGCAACCTTGGTTGCCGGGGGGTGAAACACATAAACCATTTTAAAGGTGATCGGGATCCTGGTGTCTTGGAGAGAATATGGTTGGAGGGAGGCATGGTGATGACTCTGACCGACCACAGCCAGGTGGATCACCCTGAAGCTGTATAAGGCAGAAACCACAGCGCTAAGACCTTGCTGTGCATCCAAGCACATAACGTTAACCTTCACAAAAATTTCTCGGTCCAAGATTTATTCAAAGGACAATAGTCTTTAGTAAAACTTAATTTTTTAGGAAAAAAAAACACATCAGTGCATGTATCCAAAACCCAGATCTTCCGCTAGTAATGTAACTAATTTGGACAACTTACCCCTTGAATAGAAGGACTGATCTAAGTTAGGGTTTTGTGCTTGGGATACCTGATGAAAAACAGAAATTATAATTGAAACTAGAACCAGAACTAATCATATCAAATGAAACAAGCTGTTAGAAGATTTTTGACAAAACAAGAAATGAAATGAGAAACAATCAAGTGATAAGAGAAAGAAAAAGATTTACCACAAGATGAGTTGTCTTTTGACTTAGACAAGATAGAAAGGCTGAAATAAATGATATCAAACAAAGATATGTGATAGACACTGTTTTTATATGAGAAATTATGAGAGGAACAAGTCAACAACTGAGTTGATTGTTGAGGAACATTGACAACAGTTTTTCTCACCAAATTGGCAAAAGCCAGATGAGAATTTCAAAAGATAAGGTCGGCAGAATGAGAATGAGAGGAGGGTGAGTTGACGTTGAGATGATGTGTAATCGCCATCAATGAGAGTGAGCAATCAGTGATACAAGAGAGAGAAGATAGAGGAAGAGAGATGAGAAGAACCGCAGTTGAATTGAGACAAAGAGCAGAATTGTTGAAGGAGTTGGATTAGTAGAGGTGGTGAGTGAGACAGGCCGAGCAGTGGTGGCAAAGGGAAGAAGGTGGTTGGATTAGATTGATGTGTTGTTGATGTCTGAGACTGCTGGGGAGGAAGGGAAAGAGAGTGTTGCTTGGTCTCTTATTTATAGTTGATTGGTTGTGGTTCAGCCTGTGGTTGAGAGACTTTAATCAATTGATGTCCAACTTGTGGTTGACGTTTGGATAGGTTTCAATCAGGATAGTAGCTTCAAGAAGAGTGTTGCGAGGCTTTTTGATTGTGTTGGAGACAGAGAGACAAGTTAGAGAGATGAGGCTTGAATGAGTGTATGAAGAATGTTTGGGAAGAAAGGAAGGAGAGTGATAGAGAGAAATTGAGGCAGGGAGAGAGAGAGAGAGAGAGAGAGAGAGAGAGAGAGAGAGGAAGAGCATGTCTTGAAGTGTAGGAAAAAAATTTAAAATGTCAAAAAAGAATGAAAATTAAGCTGTAGAAATTTAAGTGAAAAAATGTGTCTAATTTCATTATTAAGAGTGAACCATTGATTTTTATGTAATTTGAATCACACCATTAAATTCTACGTACATTGAAACCTAGGAAATAAATTTAAAATTTCAAAAAAACATAAAAAATACATAAGG